AAATGCAGAAGGTAGGGACGTTTTGTGCCAAAAAATGATTGGTAGGGATGTTTTCTACAATAAACTTGATAGGTAGGGACGTTGCGCACCAAAAAATCAAACGTTGGGATGTTTTCCACACAACCCTTCAAAGATAGGGACGTTTTACGCCAATAACCCTTTTATAAATGTGACAAGAAACTATATATTCAATTTAGAAAGTAATAGACTACTTGTCTATTGCTTTACATATAAGTTTCATCTTGTCTCGCTTAAGTCTGTCACAACTTGAAACTTGATCATATGTATAAGATTCAAAAAAATGTATTTTTTTCTTATTATTTTGGATTATATTTTCATTGTATATTATTTTTTCGTTTATATTGAAGAATTTTTTAATTAAATATTAATAAATAATCTCTTTATTGCGACCTTCAACTTCCAACAACCGTCCTAACTCACTCAATTTCTTGGATCTGCCCCTGTATGGGAAGTAGCTTAGCCCAATCAGCATTAACCCCCATGGCCGCTGCCGTCGTCTTAAAACACTCGCACAAATTTCTGCGCTCCGACGAATAAGAGGCGATCTGGTTCAATTCCTGAGCCCCCTCGCAGCAAAGAACCGTCACCCCGCTGCTGCTCCCTAACAGATAATCTTGGCAAGGCATCAACTCTATAATGGCTTCCAAACAGCTAATTGCACTTGCATTCCTTGCACCAGTTCCCAACATTACTACAATTCCCAGAAACCATATTGGGTAGAATCTAATTACTTTCATAGCCATATTCTCAATTTCTTGTAGAATTTAGTGGAATTGAATGTAAAGATGATGAACAATGAATGTATTACATGAGTTCTGATTTACAATGAAAGAATAGATGAAGCTTATATGGGAAGATAAGTAACGGTTGCCTAAATTCTATGCTAGTGTTGACCTACTGTACAATGGAAGAATTAGGTAGAAAGTTGAGCTGGCAACCCTGAATATTGCTGCTCCTTTTGACCAGAAATGGGCATGTG